TTCAAAATGCATGGGATTTAGGGTTTCTTTACCAGTGATTAACAGCTGTACAGTTATTCAGTAGTTTTGTTAGCCTTGATCTGAATTTGAGATTTTTTTTTTAATGTGAATTTTCTGAATCCTTTTATTTAGCACGTGACCAGCTCACGTAGCTTTAACTGTGCTGGTTTGTTACCTTATTGTAATTTCAAGTGCCACTGTAATGGATGAAACTACTGGTTATCTACTGAAATTGTGTAACGGGTACAGTAGTCTGAAACTGTAATTTCATTAATTCTGTTATCCCTTCGCTCACCTCTCTGCTAACTGTTCTACCTCAATTTGACCCTTTCAAAGGAAGATAACACTAGATGTGAATGGAATATTCTAATAAACAAATGAAATATTTTCTGAGTACAAGACAAAAAAAACCCCACACAAAACAAAAAAATCCCAAGCTATTAACAGACATTTTCTCAAACACCTATTGACATTATTTATGAAATACGGAGCTGCTGAAATAGACATTATACCATTTTTGAAAGATGCAGCTCTGAAAATGGAAAAGGAATTTAAGTTTGGGTAGACTTGACTACAGTATTTGCTACTAAGTGCTAGTTGTGCATCAGTACTTCATCTGCTTGTCTAAGATTAGTGAGCAGAACTTAAAAAAAAAATAAACCAAACACATGAGTTCAAGTAAACATTCACTTGTGTGCTCTGGTGGCATACCCACTTTACTGTATGAGACTTGGAAACCAAATACTTAAACCCCTGTGTCATGTGGCTTGGTTGTTCAGCAAAGAGCTAGAAATATTGACATTTAAGATGTTAAGAGTTTCAGCTGTGGGTGTACTGGGGCAATATATCAGGCTGCTAAACCACATGATTTGGAAACTTGTTGACGTGGTGAGCTTGGTCTTTCAAATTAGAGAAGTTGCTGAAGTCAGATTAAGGTCACTGTTCAATCTTTAACCATGCTTTGATGGAAAGCTTCAGAAAGGATATTTACTGTATTCTAACTGATCAGTAGCTTTAAACAGATGAGGCAAGGGAGAATGACAAAGCATTTTTGTGCATATGTGAGCTTGGGCACACCTTACAGCTTAAATATGGACTAGAGTTCTTAACTGCTCTATCAAATGTTGGTGTGTTACACTGCTGGTTCAAGGATAACTCTTAGCTCTTCATGATGTCCTGTTAATGTTTTATGAAATGTATCAGATCATCTGCTGGTGTTCTTCAGGAAGGCTGATAATCATACTCTGTGTGGTTTTTTGGCATAAGTATATATAAATGGACCTATGCTACAGAATCAAAATTCTCTATTTAGGAAATATGTCGTGATGAGACATAGAGCACTGTGGGAATGCATTAGAGAAATAATGAGTTTACTAGTCTAGTAATTCAGCTTTTCTTTTTGAAATAATACATTGTGTGCAACTATATGCAGAGTCATTACCCACCCAAAGTGAACTGCCAAGTAGTTAAATCTCTTGCTCCCACTTTCTACTCCCCTTCAAAACTCTCCTGCTTAAAAAGTTTTGCTGCTGTTGCTTCCTTAACTTTAGTGTGAGAGAGTACTTCCAGGTGTGCTTAAAAAAAGTCCATGGAGCTCTAACAGACGTGTAAGACACTTGTGTTCTGAGATGTTAGTGTCATCTAATGGTTGCCCAGGGCTTTGTGTGGATCGTTCCTTCATATTAGTAGTTCACTCAAAGTTTCATTGGTGATGCAGTATTAGAACTTCTGAAGGTTTCTTGTTGAGACACCAGGTTTTTTTTAATTGTGGTCAGTTTGTTGCCATATTATTTTACGTTTTGTTAAAACTTGCATACCAAAATGCTCGGAATTTGTGCTCATCCAAAATGTGTGCTTATATGCCATCTTACATTGATTATTTGAATATGGGAGTGAGGAGTACTTGCCAAGCTCTTACATATCCTAATATCCAAGGTTTCCTGAGAAGAGCCAAGACTTCAACATTTTTACTGAGAGCTGCCAGTAGTAGCAGCTACTAGGCTTTGAATGGACATGATGTAGCCTTACTTCTTAATCCCATTTTCCCTGGAAATGTTCCAAAGGAAATGAAAACTTACTTGCAGTGTTAGCAAAGTAAATAAAGCACCAGTTACTCCACTACCCTAGCAGAAGTTTCAGTTGCCAGTAGTTAAATTAATAGATGGGCAGTCTTCTGTGAGGAATTGTAGGCAGGTAAACATGAAAATGAGATGTTAAGAGGTCCTATCTTATTTCTTTGTCTTGGAGAGCTGATTCTGCTTTTCACCAGTGCAAAATGGTCAGGAGATTAAAATTTTCTTGTGCATATGCAGAAGTAGGCCAAATGGAGGTTGTGCAATCAACCTGAATTACTGCATTTACTAAGCAGAGAGATCCCTATAGAGGAACCAAATGCTTTTAAAAATGTAGCTCCCAGGGTAGGCTTCCTTTTCATCAGCTTCACTTTTTCTGCAATGCTGTAACTAAATTTTCTTAGCTCATTTGAAGACTGATCTTTGATCCTTTTCCCTTACACTGCAGCCTCTTGGGCACTGAACTATTACTGTAATGAACAATTACACTCAGCATTTGAACTGGACTTCCATTTCTTGAAGAAAATCATGTTTTATCTGGATCTTGATTTCCTACTTAGAGTGCTTCAATTGAGCTGATATTCTTTAGACTTCTTCACAACAAACCTAAATTTCATATGACAGAATAACTGGGCAGATCATTTGCTCCAGTTTTCATTACTCTAGGTGACCATAATGTTTCACTTTTCACCTGTGGCCTATGGAGTTGTTTATAGAGCCTTGTGAAAACTACTCAGCTGTTTGCATAGGTGACTTTGGTAGGAACCAAGAAGCAGACTTAACGGGCATAGTCAATAATTCTTGAACTGAACCTGGTTTGTAGTTGGTTAAGAACATTTCTCAAGAGCATCACATTTTGACTCTTTCTCTATGTCTGCATTGCATTTTTAAAATACTCTTCTTGGTTACTCTTGCAGTTGGAACTAGCTTCTGATCACTCCTTAAATGGGCTGGCTAGGCAGGTCTTTCCAAAGTGCATTTGTTTCATGGCTTGGTATCAGGTTGCCTCGTGAACATTAACGACTTCATAAGTTACAGACTTTATCAAATAATACCATCAGCATGCTTTCCCACTTTAGTCACCTGTAAGGTTTTTTAGGAGGGAGGTTTGGGTGGGTTTTTTTGTTGTTTGTTTTTTTTAACATTGTAGCACATTCAGTGAATTTTTAGAAGTCAAAAACTGATAAGTATTACTTAACAGTATTGGTATGATAACATGTTGGTGGAAAACTGTTTTGTTGTCATGTCGTTTGAATGATTGCTTGCAAAATACATATTTTCTGCATCCTCTGTTGATGTAGGGAATGAAAAAAGGTCCTAGAGTGACCTGTGAAACAATGAGCATCATCCAGGACCCATCTGTAAATTTGTAATGCATTGTTATAAATTTGATAAAAGTGTATTGTTTCTACTAGAATGCTGACAGTGGGAAGGCACAGGCCAGTAGTTCCTGAAACAAATCCAAATATAGACTCTTTTCTCTGCAGTTTTGTAAACATTTTACTTTACTCCCATGGCTAAGCTTGGAATCCTTTGAGTACTAAGGGATTTGTCAGCTTTATCAGTGGTAATTATTTTCCAGACAACTGTGTATTACTGTCCTGGAGTCATTGCCTAAAGTGGAAATAAAATGTCTATACAGGTCTTTAAGCCCCAGCTACTACTGTGTTTGGGCTGATCTTCTTTTTTAAAAAAAATAATAAATAAATCTGCGTGCTCTATTATGGGGTATATTCTTGGTGTAGCTTGTCTGCACCACTGCTGTTGGACTGCTTCAGGAGAGAGCTGGTCAGTGCCTTTACCCATTCACTGCTGGTACTAGGTCCTTGTCACAAGGACTAGGTGCCTAGCAAAGGCAAAATGCAGCCTTCACATCGATAAGGTGTTGAATCTTTACAGTGATTTACTAGTGCTCAGCACAGCTTCATAAACAGTTTTTCACACATACCCCTCACTCAACTGTAGGTATCTGGAATGTGCAGGACTGTAGAGAAGAATATTCAGGTTCTGTCTTTCAGTGTCCATTTAAAGTATGGAAATTCACGGCTGAGCTTTGCAGAAGTGGAGGGTGTGATTACAGATCTTAGGCAGCTTAGGTGGTGAATTACTCTTCCCCAGTTGCAGATGATGTAAAGCAGTACTGTGATGGAAATGCTAGACATGGATTGGAAGGAAAAATATGCTTGGGAAGCCTTCTGCTTGTCTTCACAGTGTTGGTTACATTTAATTTTTTGCCCCAAATTGATATATCAGACACTTAAGGGTGTATATTGCAGTCTGTTTGGCTGCAACTGATACATTACTACATCTGTATTTTTGCTTTTATGACAATTAAGTGTTTTAACCTTTATGGTGTTGAAAACTGGTAAAGAGCTTTTATCTTGTATGTAACAGGACAGTAGAACTTGATTACCATTTGTTAAATCTGGATGAATAAATGAAGAGGTAGTATATGAGTAAAGTGCATGAGCTGCTTTAGTCTGTTGCAGAGAATTTATACATGAAAACAAAGCCTGAAGCATTTAAGATGTTTCTATGAAGTTAAATAGTGCAGGAAACAATGATAGGTGTGTAAGGTGTCCTGCAGATGGGTCTCAGTTCAGACTTTGTACTCATACCTCAGTATATTGACATGTAATGGCTTCTGCTTTGCTTGCATTTAGATTTTGGTGTTTTATATTTCAGTTGCTGCTGAAGTGTAGTGTTTCCTCTTAAGGGAAAATCAAATGTATGTGCACACACTTGCCAACTTTTGTTTTGCCCTCAGACTTTTTTTCCAGGAAAAATAAGATGGTACTAGCCCTAGTTTCTGATTAGATTTCTAGAGTGAACATTAGCTGGTAATGTGCCCTTGCAGCCAAGAGGGCTAATGGTGTCCTGGGCTGTGTTAGGATTCCTGCTAATGCTGAATAATTTTCTTTGTTGCAGGTGGTATGGTCAAGAAAAGGACTACAATGTTCTAGTTATGGATCTTCTTGGTCCCAGCCTCGAAGACCTATTCAACTTCTGTTCTCGCAGGTTTACGATGAAAACAGTACTTATGTTAGCAGACCAGGTACGTACAAATCTTACTGTGGGACTGTTGAAAACCCTGAAGTATTTTGTGCAACGTGGTTCTCTTAGTGGGTTAAATAATGTGTAAGTGATAAGTAATGTATACAGCCAAGTGAACACTTGGCCTGCGTAGGAACGATGTAATGGTGGCTTAATAAAATATCAAAACTAATATGGGTGGACTAACTCCCAATATCAGTGATAGGGGTGGTGTTAGATCTGAATCAATCTCCAGTTACGGCTGATCTGATTCAGTGGAAACCTGTCACGTCTTGGCCAGCTATGGTGACAGGTAGGCCACATGCAAGTCTATGGGTCTGTTCTTACTGAATGCCACTGTGCACTCACAACCCCCTGTAACTTCTGGTACCAGACCATGAGCTAATAAGGAGAGTTCTGGTTGTAGTGGTGCTTAAAGACAGTTCTTAAAGCTGTTAATGGAGATGCCACTATACCTGAAACTTAATCAAGGCCTTTAAAACTGAGATCTGTTGCTTCAGGAGTACCTATCTGGTTAGTCTTTTTCTAGCAATTGGTATTTTTTCAGCTTGGTCATGAGAGTACAGCATTTGAAATGGCCACCCATATTTATTTCTTGCTATTTAATAAATAGCTTGATTGTGCTGTCTTCAGCACAATGGCAGTAAGGGTTTATCGAGTTGAATTTTCAATGGTAGTTTAAATTTCATCTGATATTACGTAATTTATGTTAGTACCAAGTTGTCACTTAGCCAGGTGCTCGTAGAATCCCAGGCTCTTGTCCAAGGAAGCTCACAGCATTTGTATGGAGAGTAGGTCAGCTGTCCCTATTCTCAGCTGCCTCAAGCGAGTGGTATGCTTGCTTCAGAGAGCCATTTGCCTGCTCAGTTAGCTGGAGTCTGAGTGTTACAGCATCTCGAGGGAATCTGTATGGGTTTTGTGCAGTATTCCTTTGGATGATAAACACTAATTGGTTGTCATCTGGGAAACATAGATGGGAAGTGTGATATCAGTGCACAGAACTGGTTTTTAGGTCATAGTCCAGTAGAACAGCTGTCAAGGGTATGATATTGTAACAATCCAACTCGCTAAAGGCTGCGTGAAGAGTGTTTTAGTAGCTGGAAAGCTGAACCACGTAAATGCATGTGCTGTGATCTCGTGCATAGGAAATTGCATGACCATATATGATAACACAGATGTTTCTCTGCGCCTTCACTGTTACTCCTGGATCATGGTAGCCTAGATATGACAGTATGGGCCACTATCAAGTTGTTACTCGCTCCATGAAAACTGTTACCTGTCATGCTTGATGATGAATGAATGACTGGGACAGGGGGAGGGAATGAGCTTTAAAATTGTCTTGTGGTAGGTATAAAAAACTCTTTTGAAGTAAGAAAAAGAGATTACTCTTTAATAGAATACTGTAGTTAAAACATGAACTTGAATGTCTGGGAAGTAGTTTCAGATATTTAATCTGCCATTTCCTGACCAAGATTATGGAATTTTGACATATAAGAAAGATAACTTTACTTGGACAGCATAAAAACAGACTTGTTTTTATTAATCAAATATATAAACTTAAGTTGCAGAGGAAGGTAACACTAAAAATTCATGCTTTCATTGAAGTTTGAGAATTGTATTACTCTCATTGAAATCTCACCTGTTTTGTTGCTTTTTTTTACAGATGATCAGTAGAATTGAATATGTGCACACAAAGAATTTTATACACAGAGACATTAAACCAGATAACTTCCTAATGGGTATTGGGCGTCACTGTAATAAGGTTAGTTTAATGTTCTTTGTTTAAAAGATCTAAAGGGAATGGCTATGTTACTTGATTCAAGCAGCGATGAGTTTTAAAAAAAAAAAAGTTGCACAAAACCTGATGTTTTGGATGCTAAACTGTGATTCTTTGATTGTGAGAACTTTGCTTTCTCGGTGTCTGCTTCTAAATGCAGTGGCATACACATATGGGTCTCTGACCCACCTTGTGAGATGCACTTGATTGTGAGATGATTTCTAGGCTTGCAACAAGATTATGAACTAACCCTAGAAAATACTTAGCTGCTTTTCTCATTGATGGAGTTTAATTATCAAAATGACTGTTGTAATAGCATTTTTTTTTTTCCCTTAATGATAAAAGCCAAATCTTATCTTTGGCTTTGGGGCTGACTTCCTGGGATGAAAAGAGTTCATGCCAACATGGGAACTCCTGACCTACCAGTTGTCAGGGCATTAAATCTTGCAGTGACAGACTGGTAAAGAGAACTCTTCGGCCATCAGGATTGTGAATACAACTAACAGCCAACATGTAGATCAGTTGTCTTTGTAAATAAATGAATTTATACAAATATGTTGATGGAAAACTGTTAAGTTGTAGAGTACCCGCATATGTTGTACAACAAAAAACTGCTCTCAATTTTTTTCTGGTAAAAGAAAAAAGCAGGGCGGCGGGGTGGGCTGTGGTTGTTGCATTTGTTTGGATGGGTGAAATGTAGTCAGAAGTGCATGTTTCTTGTTGAAAACCTTATATAGAAGAAAACTGGGTTTTATTTTATTTTTAGTTCTCTTGAGTGAAATATGCTTAATCCTGCAATTTATATGTCGAGCTCGGGCAGACAGGCAGCATTGGCAATGCATTAAGCATGCTACTTAATAGAAATTAACTTCAGGACCAATGTACGTGATCAAGCTGTTTATTGGAAGCAAGATTCCCACTTATCTTCTCTATATGCCATCAGAGAATGTCTCATCTGTTTAGGCACTACTAGTGTTTAAAATGTTTACCTTTGTTTGCCTGTATGAATGCCAACTTCAGGGCCATGAACATTAGAAGGGGAAAGCTTGATTAACATGAGATAACAGCTCTTGTCTGAAGAGGTGCAGTGCACTGAATGTTTAGATACAACCATTGTTGGAAAAGCTTGTGAGTCCAGCTGAAAGGCAATCTTTATGTAATCCTGTCGCTGTTAAACTTTGTTCCCAAGTTTCATACTTTCACTTTGTAGAGCTCTATTTTTCTCTGCTGTGTCAAGCAGTTAGGCTCCTTAATTTTCTGGCATGACTTAGAGTATAACTTAAACTTTAATTTATTTTTTTTCCTAGTTTTAGTTTCTGATTTCCAATTGTTCTTTTGGGGCCATTTTCCTGTACTTTTGCACAGTCATGCTAGGTTGGCATTGCTGCACTCTGTTTCATCTTGATGTGGATTAATGGCCTAGAAAATGCTGCTGTGCTTATTTTAGTGGAGGAACACATTAGATTTGCATCAGCTGAAGTGAAAAACAAAGTTGCCTGTAAACCATTATATTTTTTCCCCATTAGTAGACTAGTTAGGGAGCCACGCAATGATGTGGTAAACACTCTGTGGGCATGGGCCTCGTTACGTTGCAGGGTTTTAGAGATGAGGGAGGTAGTTCTTAAGGGAGGTACAAATGAGCAAAATGAGGAATGGGTTGCTTCACTTTGGAACCAAGTGCTTTATGTAGGAAACACTTGACACCATACAGTATTTACTGTTTCTTTTTGTAATTAAGTCTAGTTTGGGATTTTTTAGAGATGACTATACACAGTTAAAAGAAAGTCAGCCACAAAGACTAGAATAGCATGGTAATCTTGTTCCAGTAGCTTCCTGACAGTTATATTAAAAAGTAATAAATTTTTTTTCAAATTTTAATTTGGTCATTGGGAGAAATTTTACTCCCACCTTAAAAGACAAATTTTCAGCTCTACTAGAAATAAGCCCTGCATGCTTATGAAAGTAAACTTTAAGGTGACTAAATGCCTTCTACCTCTTCCTTACTGAAGATTTACTTTTTCTAAATGTCTTTTGGGGGAAGGGCAGTTTGTGGAACCAAAGGATGATTTTGTAAGCAAAACTTGAATTTCCTTTTTTAATAGAGCCAAATGTCACCATTGCTATCCCTGGTCAAGGCAGTGCCATTTTGGAGCGGCTCACAGTTGAAATTTACCTTGTCACATCTTTCAAATTTTCTCCTTGGGAAAAAAAAAAAAAATCAATCAAACAAAACAGAACAAAAAACCAAAACCGAACATATATAGTTTTTTTGAAAACTACAGTGCTTGGTGGAAGAAGGATGGCATTTGGCTACCCTGTTCTTTCTCGAACGCCTCGGTGTTGCCTGTCTGCGCCGGCCGTTGTTGCAATGTAAGCAATACTGTTTGATGCACTGCCACCCTCTATTGTTTGTTCAGTGTTTAGAATCTCCAGTGGGGAAGAGGAAAAGAAGCATGACTGTTAGTACTTCTCAGGACCCATCTTTCTCAGGATTAAACCAGGTCTGAACTGTCTCCTATTCCAACCTCAACCCCAAATTCATGTGCTTTATTTTTGTTTTGATTTTGTTTTTGGTTTTTTTTTCTGGAGAATGTAGACCTTGCAAAAGCACCTCTTATGTTGGCATTATTCAGACATACTTGGCAAACATGTAACATTACTAAGATGTTTCCCTGTGGCGCTTGTTTAAATTGTGGAATTATTTCTAAACTTGATATTAAAAAAGGCTAAATGTACGTGCTTGATTTCAGATGCAGAAGCAGGTTTTACTTTTGTCCTTTAAAACTCCAAGGTGATCTGTTTGAATGTGTTGAAGGATAGACATGCCACCCTAGTGAAGTAGCAGGGCTTCTCTGTAGGGCTGTCTACTTGCCTTCCTGGATGTCTCCTGAAGTGTCTTCGAATGCATGTGAAGTTCTGTTATCTCTTCAGCCAGACTCCTTCCCTTGCAGTTTTTTTTCAAAATTTTTCCGAACGTGTAATGAGGACTCATATTTTCATCCATTGTGCTTACAAAATGACACAAAGTGTGTCTTGGAGATGCATGAGCTTATCTGGTAGTGTTACATGTAGTACTTCTGACTCTTGAAGAGAAGATGAATTGTAGAGAAGTGAAGACATATGCCAGTTCGTAGCGGGACAGCTGGAAATTGGTGAATATGAATCAGCTCAGGAGTTTGGCTGTAGAATCAGTCTGTAGCTTTCCACAATGATAGTCTTCATGTATTAAATCCCAGGCAGCTAGCTGCTGTACACGAGCTGACAGGCTTCTGTTGTCTGCTTCTGAAACTTTCTTATCAGTTGAAGCAGAGACTTTGATCTACTTCTCTAGTTGCTCCTGGCAAAAATCTTGCCCTACTTCTCCAGTTTCCTG